AAATCTCTACACTCATCTTTATTGTTTCATTTTACCCATCATCAGTTAGTTGCCTGATTCATCTTAACTTTCAAGGGATGAGGATAGTTACCAGTAAAGTTTACACTTTTAAGATTCCAAGCACAAAATCAGCATACATTTTATACAAATTCCAGTTGTTAAAACAAAACAGGTTGCTGCTATGTTACCTTTAGATTTTTAAACAAAATCTAAAGGTAACATAGCAGCAACCTAAATTCTTTTTAAAAAAAATATTTTTTATTGATTTTTTTACAGAGAGGAAGAGAGAGGGTTAGAGAGAAACATCGATGAGAATCGATCAGCTGCCTGTTGCACACCCCCTACTGGGGATGTGCGCACAACCAAGGTACGTGCCCTTGACCGGAATCGAACCTGGGATCTTTCAGTCTGCAGGCTGACGCTCTATCCACTAAGCTAAACCGGCTTCGGCAACATAAATTCTTTTAATTGGATAAGAAAAAGCTTATTTGTAATTGTGTGTATTTATGTCTTTGTATACAAATACATTTTTACTTTTGTATTTTTAAAAAAATATATTGATTTTTTACAGAGAGGGATAGAGAGTTAGAAATATTGATGAGAGAGAAACATCTATCAGCTGCATCCTGCACATCCCCTATTAGGTGTGTGTCCGCAACCAAGGTACATGCCCTTGACCAGAATCGAACGTGGGATCCTTTAGTCAGTAGGCCATATGCTCCATCCACTGAGCCAAACCAGTTAGGGCTTATTTTTGTACTTTTAAGTATTGGTTTGATGGGACTGCAGAATCCTTGGATAATCCAGAAAAAATGGAATTCCCTGATCCTTAAACTAAGAATTTGACTAAGATTTTGCTATATGAATACCAAGAAGTCCAACCTGCTATCCTGTATCAATAAGCATGCTGGACAAGATTTTATAGTGGAAATATTTTGAAACTCTGGATTCTGGTTGGGCTCTGCTTCTTTCTATGTAGGTGACTTTGCCTGCTGTTTTAAAACTATTTGAACTTCATAGTCTCAGTCTTTATCCTTATTTTTAAGAAAGTAAAATGAAGGACAGCAAAGCCTGAACTTCTTCACAGGGTCATTATGAGGCTCTCTTCCATATACTCCTTAGGTGTATGTGTTTCTTTTTAAAATATATTTTATTGATTTTTTTACAGAGAGGAAGGGAGAGAGATAGAGAGAAACGTCAATGAGAGAGAAACATCGACCAGCTGCCTCTTGCACACCCCCTACTGGGGATGTGCCCACAACCAAAGTACATGCCTTTGACCGGAATCGAACCTGGGACCTTTCAGTCCGCAGACCGACGCTCTACCCCTGAACCAAACTGGCTTCGGCTAGGTGTATGTGTTTCTTTAAGCAGATTTATATTTTCTCTCATGACTTGAGCTATTTTCTAAATGCAGATGACTCACAACTTGATTGCTGTCCTGCTAGGTTCAAATTTCCAACAGCTCTGGCTACTCATGTAGATAGATCTCCTTATAGGTACATGTTTGGTACATGTTTTCTCAGGTCCCTAACTAACTTCTGAAATCATCTGTTCATACTGCGTCCTTTATGTTATTTAATGGTATCTTAAATGATGCAATCAGCTAATTTATAAACCTTCTCCCATTGCTGTACCTGCCTTATTTAGCCTGTATAAGATGCCACGAGTTCTCTTTTCCATTCCAGAAATACCTCCCTCCCACTTCTTTCCTCTGTCTTAATTTATTTATGTATATTTAAGAAATCTGGGTGGTTAAGACAATTTCTTTTTTTTTTTTTTATTTTTTTTTATTTTATTGATTTTTTTTTTGCCCCCCTCCTTCCCTCCCATGTATCCCCTCCCTCCCCAGAGTTTTATGTCCATTGGTTGTACTTATATGCAGGTATACAAGTCCTTGGGTTGATTTATTGTGGTTAAGACAATTTCTTAACTTGTTTTTCTGCCTTTGATTCTTCCTTTTGTAATCCATCCCAATACTTAAGTTACTTTTCTAAGTTCTGTGAATATTTCTTCTCTGCTTACTTTGTATGGTTGTCCTGAATTCTCTTTGATTGTTGAAAATGGTAAGAGCTAGTAAAAGAGTAGTATTAGATTGTTTAATAATGATAGAATGGATAAAGGATGGCTCATTTCTAGAATATTATTAATTTTTGCTTTTTGAACATAACAAGCTACAAAATCTCCACCTAGTGGCAACTTTGGGTTACTGCATACTTGACAGAAGTGTCTGGTCTTGTCAGAAGTAGTGCTAGACTATGACACAGAGCATTTTATTTATTTTTTGACATAGAGCATTGTACATAATTATTTCATTTGCTTCTTCATAACAGTACTAGGAAGTAAGTAGTATTAATTCCCATTTTTACATATGGAGAAACAGAGACTCATACAATTTAAGTAAATTGCCAAAGATAATAAACTAACAAGGAGTTAGCATGCATACTACATTTTTTTGAGTGGGTTTGTTAGTGGTGGGGAGATGGGAGAGAGATGATCTGAACAGATTATTAAATACTAGAGGCCTGTTGCACGATATTTGTGCAAGAATAGGCCTTCCTTCCCCTGACTTCACTCCCAGCTGCCTAGGAGCTGGCACATCCCTGCTCCCCGCCCACCTGGGAGTTGGCAAGTCCTAGCTTCTTTCCGGAGCACCGCTCCTGAAGCTCCGTCCCTTTCCCCCCTTCCCCTCATAGCAGGCATCACACTGCTCCATGCCTGCACGTGCAAACTAACCTCCATCTTTGTTGGGTTAATTTGCATACTCACTATGATTGCCTGTGGGCATAGTGGAGTGATGGTTAATTTGCATGTTTCTCTTTTATTAGGTAAGATGCTGTATTCAGGAGTGGGATAATAAACTGGCCACTTTTTAAAAGAGTTTTGATATCCACCTTTTTAAAATTTTCTCCAAATGGATTGTGCCAGTTTATATTTGTGTTGAGAAGGAATAATGGTACTCCTTTGTACAAACCCTTGATAAAGTAGGAGAACATTTGGTTTTTAAAATTTCTTTAGTCGTGAATTATCTACCAGTTAGTTTGGTTATGACAGATTATTTATTATAATTTATAAGTGCCATTAGATTTTTTTCCCTGTAAGAGATGGGGAATAGAATATTATTTAAAATAATATTTTTATAAAGATAAATCTTTATAAATGGAATAGATTAGAACAGAGTGACTATTGGCAAGGAAACTAGATAAATGATATTTGGTTTGGATGGTAGCAGAAATAGGTAGAAATAGGAGTGAATTTATGAAATAATAATATCAAGGAAGAATTAACAGGACAAGCAGGATGAAGGAGAAGTCAACAATGAATGTGAAACTTAGCTTTCTTTAGAGGCCCAGAATAATTTACATATGTAAAAAGATATTTACATATTAATATATTTAAAATTCACATAAAGTTTACCATTTTAACCTTTTTAAAGTGTACAGTTCAGCCGGAACCGGTTTTGCCCAGTGGTTAGAGCGTCGGCCTAGGGACTGAAAGGTCCCAGGTCTGATTCCGGTCAAAGGCATGTATCTTGGTTGCAGGCACATACCCGGTGTGGGGTGTGCAAGAGGCAGCTGATTGATATTTCTCTCTCATCGATGTTTCTAACTCTCTATCCTCTCTTCCTCTCTGTAAAAAATCAATAAAATATATTAAAAAAATAAAGTGTACAGATCAGTAGTTCATAGTATATTCACAAAGTTTGCAACCATTGCCACTAATTTCAGAACATTTTTATCCCCTTCCCCTTCCTGCTTCAAACCTCCCAATTCCAACCTCTTATCTCCTGGAAACCACTGATCTCCCTTCTGCTTGAATTTCTCTACCTGGACATTTTATATAAATGGAATCATATACTATTTGGACTTTTGTGTCTGGCTTCTTTCAATTAGTAACGTTTTCATGGTTCAGCTGTGTTACAGCATATGTTAATCAGTACTTCATTTCTTTTTATGGCTGAATAGTATTCCATCACATAGATTTTACTTGTCCATTCTTGAATTGATTCCTTTTTGTGTATGGCTACTATGAATATTATTTCTGTAAACATTTGTATACAAGTTTTTTTGTGTAAATATATATACTACTTTTAATTCTCTTAGGCATTTTACATATCCACCAGCAATGTATGAGAGTTTCAGTTTCTATCATTGCCGATACTTTATTTTACATTTTAAAATTATAGCTATCCTAGTTTATGTAGATGATATCTTACTGTGGCTTTGATTTGTATTTTTCTAATGACTGGTAATGTTGAGCATCTTCTCATGTAAATTCTATTCAAATTTTTTGCCCAGTTTATTTTTGCAAAGGCTATCATTTATTTTCCCATTTAACTTAATAGATACCTATTTCACTGGATTCATTTCTCCATAAAACATTAGTGGCTCATACTTTTCATTTTTTCTTCTAAATTCTGTTGCAAACAAATATATTTATAGATTACTTACAGTAGTCATATATTCTTCCCTTTTTATTTTTGTTGTTTTTTATTGTAGTAAATATATATAACATAAATTTTGCCTCTTTAACCATTTTTAGGTGCCTACTTCAGTGACATTAAGTACATTTACAATGTTGTGCAAACATGATCACTATCCATTTCCAAGACATTTTATCATCCCCCAAAAGAAACTCTGTACCTATTAAATAATAAAAATAGAGAATTTATAATATTTTTATATATCTTAAAATGGAATCTGGTTTATATCATATAAATCTATCTCAGCTTTGATTAATTTAAAGGAATATATTATATAACAGGTAGCAGATTGTGTTCTTTAATTTTTATAATTGTCATTGTATTTGTTTGTGAAAGGATGATTTCTTGAAATGACAAATGTACTTGTTTTGAAAAAAATATTTTACCATTATATATAGTGCATATAACTTAGTTTTATGTATTCATGTAATTTGAAGTTGAAAGTATACACACACACACACACACACACACATATATGTATATATATATATGCTGTATAACTTATTTTTTTTTTTAGGAAACCCAAGAATATACTAGAAATGTTGTTAAATATTGCCTTGAAGCTCTTCAAGACTGGTTTGAAGCAATTAACTTTGTAGATGAGGTATGTATATTTTTGATATATATAAAAGCATTTAAGAAAAGAACTGTTTGATTACATTTAACATTGAAAATAATGAATACCTTTTCATAGGACAAGGGATATTATTCAGAATGAATAATATCATTAAGTTTTAAAAAGGAAGAAGTGGGACACCAGTTCTTTGACATCTAGAAGGTTACACAGAGCGTTACTTATGTTTGTTTGTTTGTTTCCTAGAGAAGGGCATGACATTTTTTCCTGTGCTTAAATGTGTATGTCTCAGTATTTTTCAGGGGCAAATTAGTTTTATTTGAAGATAAAAATGACAGTGTGAAAAGCATAGGGAATATTGATGGAAAGGGTATCACAACTTTTTAAATTGGTCATCGTTCTTGTGTGGGTTTGAATAAAGGTGATTGTTAATAATGAATAACATAGGACAGGCTCTGTATGAATTAAACAAGGGCCTTGCTTCTAATTAATTAGTCAGCCACTTTTACTGTCAGAAGTCCCTTTTATTCCTCTTATAAAGTGGCATCACAATATGTCATATGTAGAAGGAAGACCATGTTTCAGACTACTTCAATTCCCTGGATGATTTTTGAATCCTAGACAGATGGAACCTTTGCTGTCTTTTTATTTTTAAAATTAAAACTAAACCATTAAGTTCCCCTTCCCTACACCCTAGTCTTACTCCACTATTATACTTTCTGTCTCTATGATTTTGACTAAGTAACTCATGGAATCACATAGTATTTATCTTTTTGTGACTGGCTTATTTCACTTAGCAAAAAGTCCTCAAGGTTCATCCATCTTGTAGCATGTGTCAGAAATTTCTTCCTTTTTATGGAAGGCAAACATATTTATTAGACTAATTTATAGACTTTTATTGACATAAAGAGGAGGATGTTATTCTCATTTTTAAAAAAACTCACGGATATGACATATTACAGTTCTTTATAATTCTATACTGATACTAAATTAGCATTATTATCTGAATGTTCTGGATATTTTTTTTTAACATGAAAAAGCTACTAAAATTTATAAAAGCATTAAAGTATTTTTTAATTTTTTTATTTGTTTAAAAAAGACAGCTGTCGTGTACTTTTGCCCTATAGTGATAGTGTGACCCGTGGGATTCACAGATTTAAAATATAAATTCTATAATAGTCACAAGGTTGCCCAAAGTCCTTAAGATATGTTGTACTAAGCTTAATTATGGAGGCTGTGTGTTCAGCACTGTATGGGAAACATCTCACTTAGCTCGTGAAGGAAACTAAGCAAGCATTTCACCTATACTCAATTGAGAACTATAGTCAGAGGCTCTTACCACTCTGAATATAACAGTGGAGTCCAGAATAACTTCTACTTGTTATGAAGTTACTTAGTTTTTTAAGCTTAAATTTCCCTTTTTATAAAATGAGATTATTAATAGTTCCTACTCCACAGGATTTTTATGAGGATTAAATGGGGTAATGTGAACAAAGTGGGGACTGGCACATGACCAGTGCTCAATGTTGGTGAGCTGCAACTGTTGTTCATGTTACTATTATGTGTTTGGTATGCATGCGTTTGAAGATTCCCAAGTGGCCTGTTGTAAAGGAACATCTCTCCCATTTCTTGTTCTGTGCTAAAGGCTTCAGAGGATTCAGAGTTGAGTAGTATACAATTTTTGCCTTCAGGAACTTATATTTAGGTGTTTAAAATAGAATGGTTTTATCTATTCTATGTGTGTTTTAAAGCTATACTTCTAAAATTTTAAATCTTGATTAAAAATATAGGAATAAGTCAAGGTGAAAATGTGGTTTAACCATTTTAAAACCTTCTTTGAACTTCTGTAAAACATCCTTTGACTTGTGGATTTTCTTTGATTATTCCAGCCAGCTCCCAACCAAGTCACTTTTCACTTGCCACTACATCGTTACTTTGCTATGTTTCTGAGTAAGGTAAGATTGTCATTAAACAATTTTTTTAATATTAGAAAATAAATATTCAATTAGTAACTTTTTAATCATATGTTTTAGGCTGTGAAATGTCAAGAACTAGATTTGGATTCTGTTTTACCAGATCAGGAAATGTTAATGAAACTAATGATTCATCCACTCCAAATTCAAGTACGTATTCAGGCTCTTAAAGCATTTTGATTAAATTCTTTGGTTAAATGATTCTTCCTTTATTTTATTTGTATGCCATTATCATTGCTTTAGTAGCCAAAATGTTTAAAAAACATTTTACTGGGACAGGGGGTGGGAGGCAAGTGTGGGCTAGAAGGAGTCAATGGGGGATCAAGACATATGTAATACTTTAAAAAATAAAGATTTAAAAAAAATTAAACTTAGTTTTCATATTTTTTTCAGGTTATATTTAGGAATTTTTGCTTTTATGAGATTTATATTTAGTTATAGTTTTCTCAGGAATTATTTTCACTATATTTATTTGTAGGGAAAATTTATAGCACTGTTTTGGGGAGTCAGTAGACTTAATGGATTATAGCCTTGGAGGCATAACTATTTTATTATCCATGTTGTTTAGGGTAATTCATCTATTTGATTCTTAGTTTCCTCGTTTGCAAAGTGAGAGGACATAAAAGAGAGGAGAATCAGCCTATATAAGCTCTGTGGTTTCTTTCCATTCTAACACTATAATTTTGTGGGCCAACCTTTAGTTTATATACATTAGAGAGACTTGCACTTCAATTTGCTTTTCTGGCAATTTTAGATTTGTTAATCATTATTAAACTTTAACTCTTGGAACAAATAAGTGATGAAGTTATTACTAAGTTTTAATTGATACAGAACATAAACACACAAAGAATTAAATATTAATATAGTAAGAAAATTTGTTCTAATCTGATTCTGTCTAATCTGCCAGTTATTTGGAAGTTGGCTAGTTTGCATTGAAAGTTGAGTTAAGATGAATTAAAGATATTGCTTACATTTATTGACTTTGAACATTTAGCTTTGTTTTATGCTCATTCCTGTATTCTTTAAGCATGATATAAAGCTTTTTCTTTTGAGGAGGAAAGAATTAAACATTAAATTAGTCTCAAATATTTCTCATAGATTCCTTATGAAAATTTCAGTGAATATTACTGTAAATATATTTAGAAGCCATCACCAACTTTTATAAAATGAACTCACATATACAATTTCAACAAAAGGGACCACATAAAGCATTTAAAAAATTTAAAGTACATATTTGAATTGAATGTCTTAAACATTGGACAGAATGTCAGGCTCATACTGTGATCTACACTAATAAAAGAGAAAGATGCAAATTCACAATACCTTTGCAAAACCCACCAGCCAGCCAGGAGTGAATATGCAAATTAACCCAACAAAGATGATGGGTTAATTTGCATATGCAGGCAGTGGGGGGGTGGGGCAGGATGCTTGCAACAACACACCCGTTTCATACCACCCCAGCAACTCTGGGCCTCTGGGCAGCGTGGGAAGGCGGAAAGGCAGCTCTGGGCCATAGTAAAGGCGGTGCCTGCAGCCAGGGGAAGGAAGGCCCATTCTTGCACGAATCTTCGTGCACTGGGCCTCTAGTTAAGTTATAAAATATTTTTGAAGTGATTGTTCAATATAACATGTTTTATAAAGATTGAATTTAGATGACTTTTTTGTCCAATTTATATAATTTTTATTTTACTAGGCAAGTCTTGCTGAAATCCACAGTAATATGTGGGTAAGAAATGGTCTGCAAATCAAAGGACAAGCCATGACCTATGTTCAATCTCATTTCTGTAATTCCATGATTGATCCTGACATTTACTTATTACAGGTAAGCCAGCTTGATAATAGATGTTGTATTTTAGATTAGAAATGTCTCATTTGTACCCACAGGATTCTCATTTATCCATATGACAAAGTGACAACACAGAGAGGTAATTGCTATTGAAAAGTTCGTTACATTTCCCAAGAAAAGGGGCCATGCCACATCATGCAGGACCTCAGAGGAAGCATTAGATTTGTGCAGGAGGTGGAAGCAGGCGGAGGGGGAAATTTAAGAGTAGAACTCTCTCTCTTTTTTATTGGTGTTTCCATAGGAAAGGCAAGTCAGGGTAGGGGAAACACGTTAGAATTGACTAGTTTGAATAATTTTGGAGGAGTTTTTCGGCATAGGGACCATCCCTGGCTATCTGTTTTTGGTCCTAGATTGATTTACTGTAGGGAACATATTGGCTTGTTGTATTTGAGTTAGATAAAGGGGGTGACTGATTTGCATATGAGAGACTGGCTCTCCAGTGAGTTATTTACTGTCTTTTGGAGTTAGCACTCCTTGAGAGCACCTGGGTCATCTCCTGCTGGATATGTAAGGTCTCCCCAAGATTTTTTTTTTTTTTAAATATATTTTATTGATTTTTTTACAGACAGGAAGAGAGAGGGATAGAGAGTTAGAAACATTGATGAGAGAGAATCATCAATCAGCTGCCTCTTGCAGACCCCCTACTGGGGATGTGCCCGCAACCAAGGTACATGCCCTTGACCAGAATTGAACCCAGGACCTTTTAGCCTATAGGCCGATGCTCTCTCCACTGAGCCAAACCGGTTTCGGCATCCCCAAGATTTCAAAACATCCTAGATGCAAAAAATTAAACACACCCAACATAATTGATGTAAGAAGTAAAATTGAATATGTAGAAATAAAATAGATTTTTTTTTGTCTTTTAAAGGTTTGTGCTTCTAGACTTGACCCAGATTATTTTATTTCATCTGTCTTTGAAAGGTAAGCATACTTTTATAAGACAGATATTAGGGAGTATTTGAAATTTAAGTTAATTTTGTTTTAACATTCAAAAATTTGTCTCAAATATTTCTCATAGATTTAAAGTAGTGGATTTGTTGACAATGGCGTCGCAACATCAAAACACAGTACTTGATGCAGAGCACGAAAGGTCGATGTTAGAAGGCGCTCTTACATTTCTTGTGATTCTTTTGAGTCTGCGTTT